ATGAAATAAGATGAGATGAGATAAGATGAGATTAGATGATATAAGATAAGATGAGATGAGATAAGATGAGATAAGTTGAGATGAGATAAGATGAGATGAAATAAGATAAGATAAGATGAGATGAAATAAGATGAGATAAGATGAGATAAGATGAGATTAGATAAGATGAGATAAGATGAGATGAGATGAGATGAGATAGAACTTTATTGATGCTGGGGGAAATTGTTGTGCCAGAGTTTCAGTACAAAGGAACATACACAAGATTTAAAAAAAGAGCGAGAAAATATAAAAATACCAACAATTAAGGTGTAAAACAGGGCAGGTGCAGACAGAAACATTAAAGTGTTTATTGTGGTGCAGGATTAATGTGTAGAAAGGGGGAGGAGTTAAAGTTTGGTAGCCACAGGGTCAGGGAGGAGTTCCACGTCTGTGTTGTTCATGGTCAGGATGTGAAGGTGCAGTTGTGGAAAGGAAGGTGTCATCAGGGTTTCATCTTTGCTTTTTTAGATGCTGTGGTTCTGTTGACATTCTTAAGGTACGAACTTCAGCGTGTCCTGTGGAACGTTGCTTGAACCCTACTTAATTCTTAGAAACTCAGATTGTGCATATTGAGGTCCCCTGTAGGGATTATATATTATTCCATTAATATTGTTAAAGTTATTCAAAATCTTCTTTGAGCAGTATCATTTTGTATCTTGTGTAGAAGACATCAAATACTCTGAACGCTGGATAAACGTCGTTATTTTTTCCTTTGTTTTAGGAAGTTAAAGCCGAGAAACCAGAACAACCAGACAGCTCAAAGATAGAAGTGGTCTCAGTGACTGAAGAAGACCTGCCCACGGTTGAGACCCCCAGCACTCTGATCGTCAGTTCTCTCGGCAGCTCTACCACTGAATTCCAATCAGAGAAAGAGTCACCCGCCCCTCAAGAGCTCCAGCCTCCGGTTGCAGACAGCCCAACGATGCCAATCACCAAAGTGCAGCCATTTATCCATGGTGAGACTCTGTTTCTGTGTACACTGATCAACCATGGGGCGCCATGATGTCAGCGTTTAGAGTTTAACTTTCTGAAACCTTAAAAGGCTTTAGGATCAGCTTTGCCAATTTCAGGATGACCGATGATGATTGACTGGAGTCAACTGTATCACTAAATATCTCCTAAACCACTGAGTCGACGTCACAACCATCTGACCTCAGCATCATAAACACAGCTACAACTCTACCAGTATTATACATTTGGTGTTGTATTAGCTGAACATGATCTCATTACCATGTGGAGTCCCATTCAAGATGGCTGCCACAGTTAGTCAACACACAAATGCCTAACTCAGTCAGTTTTGCAGTTATTATGTCCTGATGCTGCTCAATAATCCAGGTAAATCTAACAAGGTGGAGTCAGGTCCTCTGGATTAATTATTCTTTGTTGAAACGTTTCATATTTTATCCAAAGGACTTCTTCAGTCTGAGGAGATGCAATAAACTCTGTCTTATAAACAGCACCTTCTCATGGTGGATCAACCATCCAGAACCAGCTGTTCACGTGATCAAGGAGGACCATCAGCCAACTGGTTGTTAGAGCCCTGATGGCCGCTTGCTATCCACAGACGTTTGAGTGATATTTGCAATAAGAGGGTGACAGTTGATGGTGGAGGCCTCCGCCCCAGTTTAACGATGGTCGGGTTCTCTTTGCCAAGAGACAAAACGTTCCATCAAAGAACCCGTCTAGAGGACGTGACTCGACCTCGTTAGACAAGTCTGCTGATGTTTATATCACCGGTGTACTCTAGCAAAATAAAGCATAGATGTAAGGGTGGCTGCCAAGGTGGGTACGATGTGGGTGGAGAAGTACAACAAAATAATCTGCACAGCCAAGAATAGAGGTTTGCAAGACGTGCACACAAACAGGCTGTGACTTTCTAAATGTGGCCGTGAAAAATGTGGGTCATAAACACTCAGATTTCAGTGAGACTTCTGATAAAATTATTATCGTTATCCTAAAAGTTTGAGTTGCCAACTCAAGTCTTTTTGTCAACAGAGGATGACTTGGAGAAGAGTTGGAAGAGTCGACTACTAGCACACCGGTTTGAGCTGCTGATTGCCTTCTGTCTTATTTTGGTGGTGACCCTTGTTCTCTGCATCGGCCTCGGAGGTAAAAAGAACATTTTACTCTTCAGGTTAGGGTTCAGTCATTTTAGATGTTAGATCCTGTTCAGAGGATAATCAGAAGTACCCTCCATCTATCTGTCGTGTACACTGGATATCTTGAAAAACAAGTGAGGCACCGACTTCCATTTTGGTGTGGCAACTAGAAAGATCACTATCGGAAGCTGGGTTGGCAAGATGGCCACCACCATAAATGTCCATCTGTCTTGTAAGTTGGACAATTTGGAAATTAAATAAATAAATAAATATATATATATATGTATATATATATATATATAAAAATAATTTTTCTTCTTTTCGCTTTTCCCTCTTCAGAGTCTTCACAGAGAGTCCTCCATCTCACTCTGTCCTCACTCCAACCACCTCCATGTCCTCTCTAACTCCATCCATGTATCTCCTCTTTGTCTTTTTCCTGCAGCTGCATGTCTAACATCCTTCTACCAATATACCCACTGTCCCTCCTCTGGACATGTCCAAACCACTGTCCCTCCTCTGGACATGTCCAAACCACTGTCCCTCCACTGGACATGTCCAAACCACTGTCCCTCCTCTGGACATGTCCAAACCATCTCAGTGTGTCCTCTCTAACTGTATCTCCCAGTTGTTCAACCTGTGCTGTACCTCTGATGATCTCAGTCCTGATCTTCTCCATCCTTGTCTCTCCTAAGGAGAACCTCAACATCTTCATTTCTGACACTTCCAGTTCTGTCTCCTGTCTTTTTGTCCATGTCTCTGTCTCCAGACCATACAACATAGCTGGTCTCACCACTGTCTTGTAAACTTTTCCTTTGACCTTTGTTGACACCCTTTTGTCTCAAATCACTCCTGGATCTTTTCTCCATCACTCCATCCTGCCTGGACTCTCTTCTTCACCTCTT